CTACCCCAGAACGGGGGTTTGGCTTGTTTGGTTTTCCAATGTGGTGCAATGATGCATTAATTTGTCTTTAAAATCCCTGTGTTTTGGTGCCTCGGTAAAACTTGGCGGGTTAGAAGCCAGTGCCCTGGCATCCCCAAGCAGGCTCCAACGCAGATGTGTTGTTGGCTGCTCCCAGGCTGGAGCAGGTCAGGACGAGCCGACACACGAAACGTGGGGAGTTTGTCGTAAAAACAGCGCGGAAGAAACGTGAAGCTCTGATGTAAAGAAAAGCTGAAGGTAAGCTGTAACTTCACTATTGTTTGTATTATTTAAAGGCTGGATGTCCCTTTTTGTGTTCTGGTGATTAGAGAGCAACTCTCAGATTTCATAAGAACCTGAACAACGTTATTACAACAATTACTGGGTTGCTTCATTCTAAAACTCCTTCACTGCCGTATTTTGCAATACAAACTGCAGGGTCATGTTAAAGCAGATTCACCACCTGGGTAATGCACAGGACAGGCTGTCTCTGAAAAGTGGCACCAGGACCAAAGTTTGCAGCACAGGGAGGGTTCTCCAGTATTACACCTGCAGATGTGAAGGTGCTTTTGTTAGGGAAAGTGTCCTGGAAGAGCTGATGCTTCCCCTTTCCTGAGGTGGATTACTCCAGTTGCTGTGTGATGACTGTCACTAACAGGGAAGGAAGGAGGAAAGGAGCTAATTAAGAACTGACTTTAAAGGCTCAGTCCTTTTTTTCTTCATCCTCAAGTTCCTCACGGGCTGAAGTTCCAGGCTTTGGCTGTCTGATCCCAACTGTAGGCTCAGGTCTGTCCTGGTGCCTTCAGTGCTCCCCTGCTGGCTCTGTGCGTGTGCTGTTGTGTGGGTCATGCCTTGACTGCTCAGCTTGGCTTCCCAGCTCTTATTCAGGATGCAAATTGTTTGTTTGCATTTCTAATTAAAGTACTGCTGCGTGCTGTGGGAGTTTTCTCAGTACTCATGGTTGTAAGAGCCTGGCTGGGGGGGTATGTACTGCTGAGGGGGATTGTAGTGCTGAGGGTCAGGACATGGATGAAGAGCAGAGTTTGTCTTTGGGCAATCAGGATTTACTGTGCTGTCCCACCGAGGAGAGGCAGTCTGAGCCCTCGATGGTGCAGGTGTTAGGCAAGGGTATAAAGTACTTCCCTAATCTGAAACACAAGTAAAGTACAAAATACAAAGAAATTTATGTAAGCCTTTATGTGCCCAAATAAGTGATTTCCTACCAAACTTGACTTCTGAGTACCCTGTAGCTCTCCTTTCAGGAACTGAATGATGTGTAGAGGTGTTAAGGACAAATGTCAGTAGTTTTGTGTGAATTCTGGCCCATGGGAGCCTGGGACAAGGGTCATCTCTCTGAACAGGTTGAAGACCTGGTGCCAGTTTCCAGTTTCTAGGTTGTCTGGAGTGAGGGCAAGCCATGCAAGGGAAGATTTGGCTGTGGGCAGGGTGAGACCTGCTGCTGCCTTCTGGTGTGATGGGCTGGCGTGAGTGCAGGTATGGTGGGAGTGGTGCGTTCACTGTCCTGTACAGCTGCTGTATCAGCAAACAGCAAGGGTTTCTCTCAGGTTCTCTAAATGTGTCTCCTTTTTGGTCAGATGTAAACCATAAAATACTGCTTTGAGTATTTCTTTTGAACCTTAAAAAGCAGAGACCTAAACTGTGAGGCATTTTAACTGTTATGACTTTTACTCCATCTGGAGGCATGGATCTGAAAATTTACAGAAAAACATGCAAAATCCCAAGTCTTAGAATTGAGGGCCTTTTGTTCCCTTGAGTGGATCAACAGGTGTCCTGTCCTTGCAGTCACCTTGTCTTCTCTGCTACAGTTCGGTAACTCTGGCTCCCTTTTACCTACCTGAGAAACAGCAGCTGAAAAACAGATGATTAAGGCTCCTGAGAAACCTTTGGCACACACCTTATTTAGGGAGCAACTCAGCCCATTTTGTGGTTGCACCCGCCCCTACACGCAGGCTCTCAGCGCTGAGCTGCGTGAGCTGCCAGCGTGTGTGTGCTCAGCATTACACGGGCGTCAATCACAAGCAGTAGAAATCAGAAAATAAAAGAAATTTCCACGCTGGAATAAGTTTTCTCTACCTCACCATTTCCTTAGTTTCTCCCTGCCACACTGCTCAGTTTTTGCACTGGAAATTCGGAGCTGGATGATGCTGGGGACCCTCTGTGTTAGCTGTGCCAGTGGGATTCAGAGGGAAGGAGGAGGACCGAGCTGCAGACGATTGTCCTGGATTCTCCCCTCACACATCCGAGGTTCAGGAGCACGAATTTCAGTGGGCACCTGCCTGGTGGAAGGTCACAGCTGTTTTACAGACCCCTTCTCCCAGTGTTTAGCTCAGGCCCCTCTGTTCATTTCCACACTGTGTCAGTAGGCTGAGAGGAACATCTCCAGCCTCCTGTAAATTCCTTTAAGCAGTTGCTAAAGTGGTGACTATTTCAGCAGCTAAGAATTCAATATATTTACTTTTCCTAAAGGAGCAGAGTTAATCCTGTTAACATTGTATGTGTGTGAGGAGAGAGGAATTAATTCCTGAATAGCATTTAATCCCAAGAGCAAGACAGTGACTGAGATAACACTGATTTATGGGGAAATTCATAACCAACTGGAGGCTGACTGGGGATTACTTCAGTTTCCAGCTGTGGAAGGTACGTAGCATGCCTGGTAGAGAAGATGTAGTGGGTAGAAGTTGCTAAATAAGACATACATCTCCCTGTGTGGCAGAGGCTGGGGAACCCCAAAGGCAGATGTAATTAATGCACAGTAATCTAAAACAGCTTTGAAAAAATCAGGATGTATGGAGCAACCTGCTGGATTGGAGTAGGCTGCTGTAAATAATGAATTTCTAAAAATAGCAGTGAAGTGGTGATCAAAGTGTCTGGCACGTGTGAGAGGGCATAAAGCTGTCAGGGGAGCTGGAGAGGGGGTGTCTGGGGATCAGGGATGTGGCTGCTCTGCTTTGTAGAGTTGGAGCCAATAAGTGGTCGGTATCTATTTCTTGTCTTAAAATAGTGTCATAAATTCCAGGATTTTGGATTAGGAAGTACTTCCTCTTGAGTGCCAGTCTGTGTGGGATAGCCAAGGAAGAGCTCTGTGCGGGGTGTAGTGAGCTGGGTGGGGAGGGTCAGGCAGTGTTCCTTGCTCCCTTCTCTTGGGCTGTTGTTGGGACTGGGAAGGGCAAACGTGCCACCAAGGGGCCATCTCTGCGTGTTCTCTCCTGGTGAGTGGTAGGGTAGGGGTGAGCACCAGCAGCTCTGGGGTGCCCTTTGTGGGGGATGCAGCCCTGGGTGCTCTACTGGCCTGGACAGGGAGTGTGCCCTGGGGGGACCTGGGTATTGCCAACACTGTCCTCCACCACAGTGCTGCTGGGAGTGGAGAGGAATGATGGTGAAACAGTGTGGGTGGCAGGAAAGTATTTATGTGTGTGAGAGAGGCAAAGAGGGACAGGAAGGGACCGTGTCCTTCCCTCTGTTCTTCCTCTTCCCATGGCCTGTGATGTGCAGTTGAGATGACACCAAAGGTAGGAACTGCTCACATCACAGTCAACTGCTCTGGGGTTTAATCCCAAATAAAACTGAATTGTCCTCAGGAGCAGCTAGAGTCAGTAAGCTGCTCAAATGTTAGTGAGTTGTTGTAGTTTAAAGCATAGAGAATTAACCCGTGGATTATCTTAGCAGTTTGAACGAGAGCTTTTTGCCCACTGAGGCTGACCAGTGAGTGTACATAGAAAACTTATTTTGCTGGCTTTATTAAGTCTTAATATTACAGTGCAACCACCCTTTTGTTTTCTCCAACACGGGTAAACCAAAACTATTTTTCCCGTCCTCTATGAACGCCCAGGGCAGAGCGAGCAGCTCCGGAGTCAGGACTCGGTACGAGACACTTGTGTGTCCAGTTCAGTTTTTGGGGTTCTGTGCACCGCTCTCCGGAGGCTCTTTACTCTCCTGCATAACACCTTCTCCAGGAAGGGCTTGCACAGGAACATGTAGATCAGGGGGTCCATGCAGACGTTGGTGGCCGCCAGCCACAGCGTGCTCTCTTTGGCCACGAAGAGCTGGTTCTGCAGGACACAGTCCATGCGGGCAGTCGTTTGGCTCAGAGTGTAGGGGACCCTGCTGAAGTGGAAGGGGGCAAAGCATAAGAAGAACACGGTAAAAATGATGAATACTTTCCCCTTGATCCGTTTTTCCCTTTTGTTGTCTTTCTTCTGTGTTTTTACGTATGACTCGTATACCTTTTTGGCGATAATTGTATAAAATAGCAACATGAGGATGAGGACGGTCCAGAAGATGAACTGGCAGATGTAGTTGACAGCTTCATGCCACTTGAGTCCGAGGTAACTCTTCAAGGAGGCACACTTCCTCACAGACTGGGGCGTCGCTGTCTTGTTGGATAAGATTGTGTTGGGCAGAGAGAGAACAGCGAAGAAGAACCAGACCAGACCCGTGAGGATCTTTGCTGAGGTCAGGTTTTGCACCCAGAACTTCCCAAAAGGTCTCACAATCTTGAGAAATCTGTCAAAAGCAATGAGCCCGAGCAGCACTATGCTTATGTACATGGTGTCATAGAATATGACGGCTGAGAAACGACAGACAAAGGCTTTGAGCTGCCACGGTCCCAGGCCAGAGTCTGTCAGGATCTTTAGAGGAAGCATCAGGGTCATTATAAGATCAGAAACTGAGATGTTTTTCAAGTAGACAATGAAAGTTGATGTGCTTGGAATGTGGAAGAAAGCCCAGCAGGCCAGGCTGTTCAGTACGAGTCCCAGGAGGAAGATGAGTGTGTAGAGCACCGGGAAGAGCAGGCGGGTGACGGTGGTGTCGCGCTGGCACGCTGGGGAGGAGGGTGCTCCGCTGGTGTAACCCGCAGTGCTTGTGTTTGCAGAGTCTGCCATTGCTTAAAACAGACTTGGATGAAAAGGAGAGAGAAAAGACGAAACATAACTTTCTGCATTTAATGTTATGTGCTCCTTATGGTGACGGCAGGTTTGCATGGATAGACAAAAAAACCTGAGCGTGCCAGACTGGCCGATTTCTCTTGTGGCCCACAGAAAATCTAAACCTTTGCCTGAGCTTGGATTGTTTACAGACTAACATCCACTGAAAAGTTAAAATGGTACATACTTATTCTGGAGGCCTAAGGTAATGTCATAGAGGGGTATAAGAGCAGAGTATAATAAGGTATATTAAGCCTGGAGCACCGTTTGTCTTTCCTTGGAAATGTATTCCAGCATTGAATAGAATGTCCCAGCTGTGGGCCAAAAGCCAAGCACTCCTGGGGAAGTGCCTTCTGGTATTTCTTTCCAAGCACACACCGTTTTGCTTTCTCAGCACATCTTTGGATAGCGTTTCCAAGGTCAGATGCACACTGGTGGTTATCAGCCCCGAGCACCCCTTCGCACCCCCAAATGCTCCAGCCGTGCAAGTACCTGAGCAAACCTGCAGCAGCTGGTGCTGAGGCCTCCGTGACTGTCCCCGGCTCATCCACTGTTCCTCTGCCAACAGAAGCCTTGAGCAAAGTATTAAGAAAGGGGAAATGAGTAGAAAGATCAGACCTTTTTCTGCTGGTGTGTTGTGTGGTTTCCTTCCTCATTTTCAGGAGTCGCTGAGTTAGTTAATCATGCTTTCTCTCTTCCCTTTGCTCTGCATGAGAAATGCCTTCTCTTAAACTGGTCAAAGAAACCTGACCCTGTCCCTCAAGACAGACACATTTCTGGGTTTGTGTGTGTGGGACAGACCTGCTGCAGCTGCTCTGGGCATTATGATTTGGCTCCTTTAGAGATGCAGGATGAACAAACACAGAGTATTTCCTGACAGTTTTCCAGGATAATCTTTAAATATAGCTCCTAGTTGTTGTTTGTGTGTGTGAATTCACTGTTCTGGATGGCACTAGTCATTGTCAATGTGTGCTCAGAGTCTGCTCAGGGCCACCTTACAGCGGGTACTTGGCTCCAAAACCACGTGCACCGACCTACTCAGGAACTGCCCCTCTCCCTGTGGCCTGGCAATACTGACACATGAACCTGAGCTCCAGAACGGAGATCCAAAGAACTCCTGGTTTATTTTGGTCTGTGTAGCCAGATGATGCACTGTGCTGGTTACAGCCACTTTCTGGTCCCGGCAGGAGCTGCTGCTGCATGGGAGGCTGTGGATTGATGTGTTTCTTAGGTGTAATGCTGGAGTTTGGTGCATTTCTCTGTGAACAGAACCGTTTGTGTAAGTCTGTTCCTGCCCACTGATGTGGCAGCTCTGGCTCTGTGCTTGCTGCAGTGTGGGAAGTGCCTCCTGGTCAAGCTGTCCCTTTGGGGCAGGCGGGATTGATTCACCAGTGCAGACATGTGACAGGGAGTTTGTCCATTAGTACCTGATACGTTTTTGTTAATGTGGGTGCTGGTGTCAGTGTTGGATGGCTGGGGAGATTGAAGAGCCTTGAGGATGGCTGGGATGAAGCTAGCCCTTGCCATTGCCATCAGTTTGATGTGTCCCTGGCTGCCCGACCCGCCTTCTGTTTGCCCAGCAGGGACTGTGTGAAGGTGGCACAGTCCATTGCAATGCTCCAGGACTGATGTCAATGCAACACCTTCCGTGTTTTCTTCCAAACTGAGCTCCTGATGCTGTTCCAGCTGCCACAGGCAGCAGGTACCAGGTAGCTCTGCGTGTTCCCTCGGTGATGACTGTGTGGGACACAGTGTCTGTTGTCTGAACAGCTCATCAGATCAGGGGAAGCAGCTGCCAGGTAACTGCCACTCTGTCCCTGGGGGTAGGTGCAGAAAACATGTGGAATGAGTGCTGGGTGGGAGTGGGGCATCTGGCACATCCCTCCTGGGCTCTGGTGGGAACTGATTGGCCTGTGGGCTGGTGTGGAGCATGCTCTGGGGTGACTGGGCACTGTTTCCAGGGAAATCCTGGTGCTCTGTGCTCTGGTGGAACCCAGTTACTGATTGTATCATCTGGGGCAGGGACCAGAGTCAGCAGGGCACAAAACGGTTTGTGGAGGGTTTAACTCATCCTGAGGTTATTAGAGATGCACAAACCCCAAGGCTCAGTGTGGCAGTAAGTGAGCAGTGAGTGAGCTGCCTTTTAACCTCTTGGGAAACTGGGTTTAAGTGGTAGAGGTGCTGTGGCAGGCAGGGACACGTACTGGGAAGGGTGGACAGGCGATGGCTTGGGCAGGACTGAGCTCTTGTGTGATGGTGACACATACTGATTAATTGCAGCTGTTTGCAGTGCTGATAAATGAACCACAATTTATTCCAATAGCCCACGGGCTATTTCATGTGTAGTTCTTGTGATACATGAAGATATCATGTACCTGAAAATACTTCCCTGTTTGTTTTTTTTTTTTCCAAGTTTTCCAATTGCAAAAGGGGAAATGGTTGAATATTTTGTATGGTGCAAAAAGCTGTCCTGAATTATCAGTGTAATGTTACTCTGAGACTGTCTTTCCCCAAGATCTAGTATGCTGTAAGTTGGGTCTTTACAGATTTTCTAATGTAATATATCGTTCTCTGTGAAAGTGGACAGTTTTGTTTATTTATGTAGTAAGGGGAAGAATTTGGGGACTTAAGTCATATTAAGATAAGCCTGATTATAAAATAATTTCCTCTGACATACAACTCTTAGTTATTGGTCAATAGGTTAGGAATTGCAAGCACAAAATGGGATAAGCAGTGTTATTCTGTTACCAAAATCTGCACAGACAAAAGGCTCCTCTACATCTGGGCTAGGTTTCTTTGTCTGCCAGTTGTGTACATGGTGACAGCTCCCTGTATTGAAAAATTACATTTTACTGTGGATTTGATCTGCATGTCCCAGATCTTGTGTTGTCACGGACACAAGTTAGCTATTTCTGCAAAATCTTTGCGGTTCACGATCTCATCTGTAGCATTTCATGATTCTCTTTAAAGTTTCTCCTCACAGTTCTACCTTTAAGTTCAAACTTCTTCCCAGCAGTTCTCACAGGCATGGTAGTTGGGGTCGGGGGGGGTCCTTTTTGGCAAAGATGGAATTTGGGGAGCCTCCTCTGGTATTCAAGCTTTTCATTTCTGCAGCCAGTGGTGGTGGTCCCAGGGTGCTTGTGCTTCATCTGTAGGACAGTTTCTAAAGGGGTCCATGAAGCTCTAGATACTCTCCACAGGATTTGTGCTCCTTCCACCCTCAGTAGACGTGTGTGGCCAGGAAGGGGCACGTGCACTCCTGAGCTCTAGACCGGCGTCTCGTCCGTGTCATCCGCTTCGTTCTGCTCCTGGGTCCGCGTCCCGAGCCCCGACACTGCCACGTGCCTGCGCAGCGAGCCCAACAAGGACTTCCTGAAGGATTTGCAGAGGAAAAAGTATATGAATGGATCCAGGCAGGCATTGAGGGATGTCAGCCACAGCGTGGTCTCCTTCAGGTAGAACAGGGTGTTCCGAGCAGAGCAGTTAAACACGTCTCTCGTTTGGCTCAAGGTGTAGGGGATTCTGGTGAAGTGGAATGGCACAAAACAGATAAAGAACACAGCGATGATGATGAAAACCTTCAGGTTGACAGTCTTTTTGGATGCCTTCCCTGTGCTTCTTGTCCTTTTATAGGATTTGTACAGCTCCTTGCTGATGAGGATGTAACATACCACTATGACTGCTAAGTTAACCCAGAAGATGAGCTGGCAAATGTAGTTTACGATTTCATGCCAGACTAAGCCAAACTCGGATTTGAGGAGAGCACACTTCTTTACGTTCTTGGGTGTTCTCTCCTTGTTAGTTAAAATCATGTTGGGCAGCGAAAGAGCAAACATTGATACCCAGATTGCTGTGGAAAGGATCTTGGCGGCCAAAAGGCTCCGTGGGGTTGATGTTCTGAATGGTGAAGTGGCTTTCTGATAGCGATCAATAGTTATCAGACCGAGAAATAAAATGCTGATGTACATGGTGAAGTAAAACACAACCTGGGTGACCTGGCACACGAACCCTCGCAGGACCCACGATACCAGCTTTGCATCGCTGAGGATTTTGAATGGAAAAGTCAGGATCATGAGAAAGTCGGAAATGACGGTGTTCTTGAGGAAGATGATGAAGTTGGATTTACTGGATATTTTAAAGAAGACCCACATTGCCAGGCCATTCATGATGATGCCCACCAGGAACAGAAATGTGTACAGCAAAGGGAAGATGACTTGGCTGATCCTGCTGTCGCTGGTACAGTTGCTGTAGTTCCTGGAGGAGCTGAAGTGGGTTGTGGCTTTCATTTGCACTCTGGTGTCCCCCCTCCCTGGAGAAGCAAACAGAAAAAAATGAAGTTGTGAGCCTATCATAAGGGTTCAACCTTTTCAGTCTGCTTCTGATTTTTGTGTTGGGAAGAAGCGCATGCAGCTGGTGGGTCCCAAGCTGGGCTGGGGTGACATTCAGGAGTGTAGTGATGCAGTCATTTACATGGCAGTATCTTTGTCTGAGCTCTGCCTGTGTAAAGCAGGCACTGGAGGGGTTGATGTGCTGTCAGCTCATGCTCAAATCCCTGACATCTGCTTTACAGAGCCACAAAGTTTTATTTCTCCCTCTAAGGTAGAAAAGATTGGCTTTTGCTTGGAAGCATGTAACGGGTTCAGCTGCCAAGTGCAATCCTGAGGGAACAAGTACTCCCTCAGCACGGGTACATTCTCCCCCCAGAGCCAGGGGAAGGTTACCGTGGAGAAGTGGTGGAATGCTGGGTGTTCCCTGCGGGGGAAACTGCGAGGGAGGGTCCTTGGCAGTCCCTCCAGCTCTTCACCGTGGGAGTGGGCAGCAGTGTTCCTGTGGGATCCCTCGGAGCAGGGAGAGGCAGGAGGAGCAGCTGAGCATCCCAGTCCTGAGGCTTAGACTTTCCTCTGGCCGTGAACTGGTGTCTCAGCCAGCGACAACGGCAGATTCCAACAGATGCACTTAGAGCTTCTACTTCTGTTTTCTGTAGAGAAGAAAGAGAAATAAGTAGAACTTCAAAAAATAATTAGTAGTTTACTTCCTGCCTTTGTCTGGCTTCCAGAAACGCTATTTGTAAAGAGAGTGGGTATTTGTCAGATTGTGCAACTTTTCTGAGCATAGAGCTGCGCTCCTGTCTGCCCCTTTCGGCCTTGTGATTCTTTAGGGTTATTTTTGTACACAGTCTTGTTTTTTAAAACCTTTAAAGTATTTGAAAGAAGTAGTGATTGGTTGCTTTTGAGGAGGTTATTACCGAAGGAAATATTTATATCTTAAGTAACTTGCAGAGCAGTGCTTCAAGTTTCCAAGTTACATACAGTACATCATCATTAAATATTTCTAAACATCTGTCTTACATTTACTGATCTGCTGTGAAATATTGATGCAGGGGACAGTATGGAGGGTCATCCCCTGAGCCTGTCCTTGTAGATACACACAGAATTCATAATGTCCGATTGCATTTTCCCCTCTGTGTTTTTACCCCACTCTTCAGTGATCCCTTTTGACACTGTTTCCTCCCTACTGACAGCCACAGAAGATGTTTTTGTGTCAGAGTCAGGTGGTGTTTCCTGCAGCCTGGGCTGCCTGGACCGAGTTTCTGCAGGTGATGACAGGGACAGGCAAAGAGACTTCACTTGTGTCTGCTCTTTTCAGGATGAATCCTCAAGCCATGAGTGTAACCAGCGCATGATTCTCCTTTACGGTGTGGGGAAGGAGCGTGATGAAGCGAGGCATCAGCTGAAGAAGATTACCAAAGACATCCTCAAAATCCTGAACAAGAAGAGCACTACAGAAATGGGTGGTAAACGCGCTAAGGCTGCTGTTCAGTCACCTGCAGTGACCCTTGTCTGGAGACATGCATGTTATCCCAGAGTTTGGCTTTCCTTCCCTTGGCAGTCCCTGGGTGAGGTGCTGAGCAGAGCCCCATGGCCCCACAGTGCACTGGGGTGACCAAGGGCTGCCACCACTAGAAATCCCTGTTTTCCATTGTAGCAACTGGCTGCAAACACTTGTGTTGGGCTAAAGCCTGGAATGTGAGGGATCCACGTTCTCACCCTCCTGGCAACTCCGTGTGGGTGTTCTCAGCTTCTCTGGGGTGTCACCTCTGTGCACTGGGATAACCTCGTGGCAGCTTTGACATTGTTTTGTGCTGTTGTGTATCATTACAGTAGAAAACTGGAGCTAGCAGGGTTTGTATAGTCATGAGTAAAACTTAATAAGGTTTTTATTGTCTTTTAAATCAGTAGCAATGGAAAACTGCTAGGCCTCCATTAAATATAAAATGACTGAAATAACCTTTTAAATCTGTTCAGTGGGGGACGAAGGGCAGAAGGCCCGGAAGACCAAAGCAGAGGCATTTCCAACCCTGGAGACTGTGTTCACAAAACTACAGCAGCTGTCCTATTTCGATCAACACCAGGTGACATCCCAGGTACTTCCCTTGTATCAAATTGTGGCCTTTTAGCTCTGCTGCAGGGATGTCAAATGGGAAGGACATCCAGTTTTTTGTAAGTGTTTTGTATCCAAAATAACCTGGTCTAGTGGAAGGTGTCCCTGCCCCTGGCAGAGAGGTGGAATGAGTTGAGCTTTACGGTCCCTTTCAACCCAAATCATTCTATGATGATATGATAATTTGTTCTGAAGGACAAGCCTGGTTTTCCTGCTGTGTGTTAGGACTTGCCAGTTAGTGTGCAAGTGTGTCAGCAGCGTTTCATCATTTTGTACGTGTTACTGGTTGAAAGTATTTTCTAATACCAGAGGCTAACATGGGAAACAAATAAAAGATGTGAATGTTTGACACTTAATTTATAAGGCATCTTTTGGTCTAGTCTTTTGAATAAACTTATTACAAGTTTGGTTTATGTGTTGTTAATGAACTGAAAACCATCAGTTGAAATAAATCACAGTGCAGTACGATGCAAAGAAAAAAACGATATTGCTGCTGCTTTGAAGCAAATTGCCTCCAGAACAGAAATCAGTGCTGTGGCTGTTGGGAACAGTTTGAGACTCAGATGTGAAGCAGCAGAACAACATTTTGTGTGCTGTCAGGTTTGGAAGGGAAGGGCACTGTGCCTGGCTCAGGGACAGGGAGGGACAGGTGTGCTTGTGCCTGGTGTGTGAGCACTTTGACCCGCACAGTGCTGGCACTCGCTGTTGCCACTCGCACAGCAGGATTTTCAGAGTGCTGGTGTACCTGAGGAGCCCTCAGTCACACCTGACTCGCAGCGTTCCCTTTCCCAGATCTCCAGCAATGTTCTCGAGCAGATCACTAGCTTTGCCTCAGGAACATCGTACCACCTGCCCTTGGCTCACCACATCCAGCTCATCTTCGATCTCATGGAGCCAGCGCTGAACATCAACGGACTGATAGACTTTGCCATACAGGTGAGCAGAGTTCATTTGGTGAGGTCATGCGAGGACAGAGCTGTGGTACATGTTCTGGGAAGCCAGAAAACCCCCAAGAGCTGGATTGCAAATTCCCTCTGGGTGCTTGTGTCTGGTTCGGTTTTCTGCCCTCTGAACGGAGTGCCAGACGCTTCCCCTTCTGCTGTGCCATGACTGTTGTGGAGAATCAATAGATGCCTTTTATTTTTAAATCTCCCAAAATTAACAAAATTCTGGATTATTTTAGAGCAAAGGATTTTAGGATAGGCTTTGCTGTTTCAGACTAAACCGTCTGTGTTACCTCACAGTTTTTCCTTAATATATATATTTTTTTTTTTGCTCCTGTTTTACATGTTTAACCGGAAATTACTTTCAATTTGTCGTTTTGATGTGTGTTCCCAGCTGCTGAACGAGCTGAGCGTGGTGGAGGCCGAGCTGCTGCTGAAGTCGTCCAGCCTGGCCGGGAGCTACACGACGGGGCTGTGTGTGTGCATCGTGGCCGTGCTGCGGCGCTACCACGCCTGCCTCATCCTCAGCTCCGAGCAGACCACGCAAGTCTTCGAAGGGTTGGTGGCACACACTCTGTTCCAAAGAGTCATTTTGTTCTCTCTTAATAGCAGAGAAAGCATTTTGGTTCAGGTAGTTGGACCAGGTGTTGCGGTGCTGCCGCAGGGCTGTAGATGGGCTCAGGGGAACGGTGGACAGCTCGCCTCTGCAGCGTGCACCTCACTGCCAGGGCTGCTGGGATCCCCAGCCCTTGTAGCCTTGGACGAGGGGAGGTTGTGCCTCCCGATTTCCTGCCCATTTGCCCTGCTGTGCCTGGCCTCCATAAGTGCCTGTGACACAGGGGACGCCAAATGTCACATGAGCCCCATCAGGCTGTAGATGAAGGTCTGTCACGCTCCGCAGCTGATGGCAGGGTTTATCTGATCTGTGACAGTATGTGTCAGGTTTGTCAGGTGTGTTGGAACAAACTTTTGTTGTTTGCAGGTTGTGTGGGGTAGTAAAGCACGTTGTGAATCCCTCCGAGTGTTCCTCCCCAGAACGGTGCATTTTAGCTTACCTGTACGACCTGTACGTGTCCTGCAGCCACCTGAGGAGCAAGTTTGGAGACCTGTTCAGGTGGGTGGTGAAGGGATTCATCTCACCCCTGCCCACAGACTGATGTGGGCTTCTGTGGTTTCCATCCACTTTCCATTCTCTGGAAATCTCCACTGCCT